TTTTTTTTTTTATTATTTGAGTTAATGGAATATGTTACATGTCTCGATTGTGAGACGCACACGGTATTGGATTAAAGTGTGAGCTGGATCAACGAAAAGTAACCAAAATTAACCGTTAGACAAATTGACCTATTATATGTTTATAATAAAATGCATATTTATGAAATATAATACTTCTGTAAATGTTGTTTATGAGATTGTGAAATTTTATAATACTAACCATTTCTCCTCTTATTCGAATCACAATTTTTTTTTTAATGTCGATTCGTCATACTTTGTAAAACAAAAATTAAATTATATATTTGATGAAATATCACGGCCACCACGTATGCGCCGTTCACCACCACCACGAGAATAGCCTAGCACCTCAAAACAGTTGGCCGCAAGATGTCTGGTCTTCCCACAGTTATAACACACTTGTTGTCGGCCTCCTCCATTGCCCGGAGCACCGCCGGACTAATCAGCCGTAGAGCCCGTCGCCTGCCAGCGTAGAACTAGCCGACGACAGCGCATGAGGAGGCCCACCCAAGCGCATGAGGATGCCCGCCGCCAGCAGCACCGTCATGCCCGCGGGAGATCAAGATCGGGCCCGTTCGAAGAGCAAAACGACAACAACATCAAGATTGTCGTCGACGGTAGAGATGGTGCGCATCCTCTCCTCTTGGATGCAAGTGGAATAAACTCGATTCAAAGTCGGGAGGGGATCTTGGGCCAACAAATTGGAACGAGTGGCACCATAGAGGGTGGGATCCAAACCCTTGAGAAATTGGTGAACTTTCTCACTTTCTTGTTACGATTCCAGTCAACTTGCAAGTTGCACACACAGAGACCACCACGACACATGGGTTTTTTTTTTTTTTTTTTCATAATTAGCCAATTCTTCCCAAAGTTTGGTAATCTTACCGTAATAGGCTTCAATACTTATGCCCTTCTACTTAGAAGATGCGAGACCGGACTTGAGTTGTTGAATTCGGGGACCATTCTTCATTGTAAATCTCTCCTTCAAGGACCACCATAGATCCTTTACAAATTTCGGCTCCACCACAAAAGATGGGAGCTTGTCATCAATGATGTACATAAGCCAAGAGAGCAAAAGAGAGTTGTTTGTTTGCCAATCTTCAAACAACTCCGATTCGAGAGGGGGCCGCATGATCGAACCATCCAAGATTCCAAACTTCTCGCACATGTGAAGAGCGGTGCGCAGACTACGGGACCATTCTTCATAATTGGCATCTCATTTTAATTGAACTTGAGTAATCAGAAGGCCATGATTATATTTATTTAGTCAAACTTTCTATTAATATATTTTTTCCAACAATCTCTTTATATAGATAGGAATATAGATATAGATTATGGTTTTTAAATCTATGAGACAACATCCACCTAATCAATTCTGGTTTTTAAATCTATATACAAGCACGGCAAATGTCCAAAATTAACGTTTTATTATCTATTTTAATCAACTATAATCAATTTAGAGTTTATTTGGATGTTCCATTTCTTATATTAATAATCACTAATATAATTCCAAAATATATATATACAAAAATATTATATTTAACAATTTTTTAGTCTGTTATTCATTTTCATATACGATAAAATAATTATCTTTTAATAATTTTTTTTAAATTGACAGTAACAATATATGTAGTAAAATATATAATCAATATAAATAAATTTTGAATATATATCTTAAAAAATACGAATACATAATGCATAAGTTTTATTTTGAATAAGATATCACATCTTGTATTTCCGTGTAGGTTTATATGTATTCCGTGCTATAAAATCAATAGAATTCCATATAATCCAATCATTCGAAGAAATTTCACGTAAATTCTTATGAAATTGAGAAAAAATATATTTTCTATAAAAGCTATATATTTCCAAATTTAGGATACAAAATTTCGAATTTGTTAGCATAATTGTATAAAATTTAAATTCTACCCAATTCAATTTTTGGAAACCCCATATCTCACTAGTAGACATGTCCACGGGCCGAACCGGCCGTGAATTGGTCCCGACTCGGCCAGAACGGCCCTGAACAGGTATGCTAAGGGCTAGTTCAGTCTCGGTTCACATTTTTCTTTTGTTGGACCCACCGGCCGGGGTGGCGGGCCACAATGTTATTTTTTTGTTTAATAAGCGTCGTACTGGCCCGTGACCTGTCGGGTCGGTGAACCGACCCATAGTTATTTCGGGCCGGTCACGGGCCATGATATTGAGGTCCGCCGACCTGGCGGCCAACTCGGGCCGGGTCGCGCCCGACAGTTGGCCACCTCTACTTACGAGTAGGGGTGCAAACGAGCCGAGCCGAATCGAGCATTGACCTTATCGAGCAGGATTGAGTTTTTTTTTTAGCTGCTCGAGCTCGAGCTCGAGCTCGAGCTCGTCGAGCTCGATTTTTTTGGCTCAAGCTCGACTCGATAAGAAATTACAATAGCTCGAGCTCTAATTTCGTGCTCGACTCGAAATCAAAAAGCTCGAGTTCGGCTCGAGTTCGGCTCGAAAATTAGGTAAAATTATCATTAAGCACCTATGCTAAGATATACAATAAGGGGTATTTTAGTCATTGACGTATAACTCGAGCTGCTCGACGAGCCGCTCGACAAAGCAAAATATAGGCTCGAGTTTGGCTCGAGTTCGTGCTCGAGCCGCTCGAGCTCGACTTGAGTTCGGTCAAACTCAAGCTCGAGTCGAGCTTTGACTCAAGCGCTCGCGAGCGGCTCGTGAGCCGCTCGACTCGTTTGTAGCCCTACTTACGAGTCACAACCAAACGTCATGTAAAAAGTCAAAGACTTTTTACTCATAAATTGTCCACGAATTCAATGTTATTCTTTTACTTGGCAAATTGTAAAAAGGTCTAGTAAAAAAAGATTCTTCTGACCGTGAAAATGGTTGAATTCCACTTTATTGGTGATGATGATTCGAGAACTTGTCAAAGATGTAGTAAAAAAAAAAAAAAAAAGATTCCTCTACCCATGAAAGTGGGTGAATTTCACTCTACAGGTGATGACTCGGGCCTAGGGGAGTATACAAGCTGCGTCAAACTTGAAATGGAGCTCGAGATCGGTTCATTTAAAACTTATAACAAATCGAACCGATCTCGAACTTTAATGAATCGAATTATAGAAAATTATATAAAACTTATCTTTTCGAGTCTTATCGAGCCGAGCCGATCTCGTTTAGTTTACTAAACGAACAATAAATGAGCCTAGCTCGGCTCATTTATCAAATGAGTCGAGTCGAACTCGAGCATTAACGAATTGAGCTGAGTCAAACTTGTTTAATTTAACAGCACTACTCGCCAGCCTCAGTATAAAAAAAAAATGACCAGATCGTCGATCTCAATTAAAAAGTATAATAAAAAAGAAAGTTACAAAAGCCAATTTGATTATTTCATAGTAAAACGCATGGGATATAATGGTCTAAAAAAAAAACCTTGTACTTTGCTTACCACTTTTCAAACAGTGGATAAGGTGAAATTTATTAAAGAATAATAGCCTTTTAGTCCAATCCGAAAAAAAAAAA